CTAAAATTCATTTTTTAATCAATTTTAAATCAATCAATCAATTCTACGAGAGTTAAATTATTTAAAGACAAAAATAAATAATTTATTGTTTTTCAAAATTGAATTCTCATAAAGAATTTTATTAACAAATTTTTAAATAATTGAATTCCTTCGTAAAATTTTATTAAAATATATATTGAAAATCATTGAATTGAGGAAAGTATTTAAAACTAATTGAAATTTTGTTAAGAATTTCATTAAAATTTTTGAAAGTAATTCAATTTCGGAGAAGAATTTTATTACTTTTGAAAATAATTGAATTTCTGCAATTATTTTTAACTTCTTCAAAATTCAATTCTTTTTTAGTGAAATTTAGTGAAATTCTTCTATAAATCCATTATTTTTAATAATTAATATTAAATATATACTATACAATTTAATTAATTTCAAATGAATTTGAATTATTACAATTTTCCAAGGATTTAAGTTAACTTTAAAATTTCTAATTAAATTTATTTAATATGAAATTTTATAAAATTTCAGATTGAAACGTTTTGAAGTTCATCAATTTATAAAAATTGTAGACGCAACTACTCTTTTAAATTAATTTTGAAATTTTGAAGTAAAATTATTCATTAAATAATTTTATGGTAGTTCTTCAAAAACTGAATTATTTAGAAAAAAATTATTGTAATTGAAGAAATTATCATTATTAAAAATAGAAAAAATTGAAGGTTTTATAGTAGAATTCGTGGTAAAAAAATTCCTGACTTTTCCCTAATTTCCCTGACCAATATCTACTTTTTCCTGAATTCCTTGACCTGTGGCAACCCTGTTTTATTTTTAAGTCAAAATTGCATTTTTTTTAATCAAAAAATTACATTCTTTTTTAAAAGGTAAAAAGAAACGATTGTTTTCTAATTAAAATTAAAATTTCCACAGATTTAAAGTCGAAACTTAAAAATCATTATCGCGCACATCGATTGTCATTTGGTTGAATTTAGTGCCCGATCTTCACAAACCGGGCACGGATGATGTACCAAAATCTCACCATTTATTAAATATGGACCAGGTAAAATATTCCAGAAATTTGTCTAAATTTTGTCTACATTTTTAAATTCTCTTTTCTAATTTCCTTCTCTAAACCTTTAGATACCACCGAAGATTGTTCAAAAAATACCGATAATATTAACATCGCCAAGTTTAGAATTAACATCGGAGAAACATGAGAATTTATCTTCCGCAATACCAAGTGAATTGGCATTCGGTGAATCGACAACACAACCAGAAGATGGATTCGCGGCATATTCAACTGCCTTAAGTGTAACAATAGCAATTGGCTGTAGTTTATTAATTTTAAACGTCCTCATATTTGCCGGCGTTTATTATCAACGCGATAAGCACACCTATCACAATGAGGAGAAGAAATTCCAAGAAAATGGCCAAATGCCAAATAATATTTGCGGTGAACTCGAGGCAAAAGTACAGTCCGATCGTAATTATGTGAAACACATGTCACTACCAGAATTGACAAATATGCAAAATAATTCATGTCACGTTCCAATACCACCGCCGCCACCTAAAAATATTAAACCAAACAAATCGATTAAAAATTTAATCATTAGTCCCAATCATTTACAGCAGGAGAACGTGATAATGGCTACCTCAACTGCAAGAAAAAAGGATGCCCACACTTATCAACAGATAATGGAGGAATTAAGAGTTTGATTTCTAAAGAAAATATATATTCTTTCTTTTTCTTGTCTACTTTCATTATTTAAAGTTATTGCGACGAATCTCATAAAAAACATTAAGACATTTTCTATTTTGTGACAGTATTTGATAAACGTTACTATATAAATATATATGTTTTTAATAATATAGTTGAGTTTAATTTTACATAACTCAATATTATAAGATAAACAATGTGATTAAGAGCCAGAGCTCTGCGTCCCTCGGGTAATTGCATTTCCAATAATATTACATTTTATATAGAAGTGTGAATAAAAGAAAATTGTGTAGCGATCTATGCAAATAAAAATTTGGAAGACAAAAACTTTTTTTTTACCTTTCTTCTCCCATTGAATTCTTTTTTTTCGAACACCTATAAAAATACCTTTCTTCTTACGTTTGGTCACGAATCATCATTTTTACGAACCTTGAAACTAAATTCTACTCTGCAATTTCCTAAAATCTAAAATCAGAAAAAATCTAATACTTATAGCAAAAAAATAGTGATACAAATGCGCCATCAATCGGAAAAGAATAAATAATACTTCAGGGTTGCCACAAAAAATTAATTTTGTTTTTCCCTGACTTTTCCCTGATTTCCAGACAAAATTTTAACTTTTCTAATGAGAGTATTCTGATTCACTCTAAAAATTAAGATACTAAAAAAAAACATTCTATTACATTTACTTACGAATTTCGTTAATTGTAAAATTATTCGCAAACATCAATAACTTCATTTTTCAATAAGTATTTAATTATTATTTTTCCATAAGAATTAAAATTCTTCAAAACATTTAAATTCAAAGATTTTTAAAATTCACAACATTATAAGAATATTATTATAAAACATGAAGATATAAATCATTCCGAGTCTTTGACTCGGAGTAATTAATGTCTTTATGTTTTATAAAAATTTATATTTCATAAAATTTGTCAAACAAAAATTAAAATTATTTATAAAAATTATAATAAAATTCGTTGCAAGAATTCAATTATTTTTCATAAATAATAAAATTCTTCACAGGGTTTCAAATTATTTTTAATAAATTTTAAAGAATTTCTCGAAAATGAAATTATCGTCAAAAATTTTTTGCAAGAATTAAATTACATTACACAAATAATGAAATACTTCGCTGAAATTCAAAAATTTTCAAAATTTACTATTTTAAAGAAGTTCTCAAAGGAATTTAGTTATTTAAATAATAAAATGTAATAAAATTCGTTGCAGGAATTCAATTATTTTTACAAGTAATAAAATTTTTCACATGAATTCAATTATTTAAAAAAAAAATGATAAAATTCGTTATAAGAATTCCATTATTTTCATAAATTATAAATTTTTCTGAGGATTTCAATTATTTTTAATACAATTTAAAATAAAATCTTAGAAAAATGGATAATATTTTCTTAAATTTGTTGCAAGAATTCAATTAGGTACTTGCATAAATTAATAAATTCTTCACAGGATTTCAATTATTTTAATAAAATTTTAAGTATAAATTCTTCGAAAAATGTAATTATTTTCAAAAATTTTATTAAAATTCTTCGAATATCAATTATTTTTAAAAATTCATGCTATAATGCTTTAATATATTCATTAATATTATATTCTTAAATCAATTTTTATTGCAAAATTTTACGAGAATTCCAATTATTTAAATACAAAAATAAATAATTTACTGAATAAATGAATGTTTCTCTAAATTGAATTATCATAAAGAATTTTATCAACATAATTGAATTTTTTTCAAGGAATTTTAATAAAATTTTTCACGAATTATTAAATTTTTCGAGGAATTCGATTAAAAATTGTATTAAAAATAATTGAAATTCTATTATGAGTTTTATTATTCATGAAAATAATTGAATTTTTGTAAAAAAATATTATTTATGAAAAATTATTGAATTATTATTGCGAAAAAATTTATCAAAAAAATTTGTAATAATCCATAATGAATTCTTTAGAAATTTTTATTAAATAGTAGATATTGAAAAACCATTGAGTAGAGGAAATTTTTTTAAAAAATAATTGAAATTTGGAGGAGATTTATTTATTTTAAAGATAACTGAATTTTGACGAGAATTTTTTTTTAATTTTTGAACATAATGTTTCAATTTCTGCGAAGAATTTTATTACTTTTTGAAAATAATTGAATTTCTGCAATCATTTGTAACTTCATCAAAATTCAATTTTTTCTAGCACTTTAATAAAAATCCCTGAACTTTTCCCTGACCTGTGGCAAACCCTGAAATTTTTTTTCAGTTTTTAAAGTACTTTAAAAACTGAAAAAAAATGTCTTTGGTCAAATGATACAATTTTCGTAATGAGGACCATTTTCGTCATACACAATTTTCATAATACACAATAATAGATAATGATTAATCATTTAATTATGATAATGGTTACAATACAAAAATACATAAATAAACATAAATATAAAGCTATAAAGTAGAATAATGTTTATAATAAAAGGAACTTATAACCAAAACATACCGGAGAGACAAAAAAAAGTTCAACAATTGGACGACATTCCTTTGCTTTTTAACAAAAAGTGACTCGCCTTCTTTTTTTCCGTTTCCATCAATTTTTCTGATTAAATATCATTAATATCACCTCTGAAAGCTTTTGGCATTATTTTACACACTTTTTTAGTAAACTTTACACACTTTTTATAGGAAGAAACACGTGAGAAAGACGCAGAAAAGACGTTGAAATCATTGAAATTACCGGGAAAATGTAGAAACTCAAGACGCGACGACAAGTGAGTAAATCGCACCAGGGCGGGAAGGTGAAACAATGAACCCCCTGTTATTTCCAAGTGTTTCATAAACGTCAGTTCACAACAAAACCAGAGTTGGACTATTTTCTTTCTTTTTTATTCTTTTAACAATTAAAAAAATGAATATAAGAAAAAGAAAATTGAGAATAATAATGTAAATAATAATGTTCTTAATAAAAGAGAAACATTTACACAACGCTCATTAGTTTTATTTTTATTTGCAGATTTTAGGCATAGTTCATATGGTTTTCGAAAATTAATGTAGTTTCACAACCTTGCACAAAATTATACGATATACAGATATATGTATACATGTAGTACACATACATAAAGAAATAAAAAGAAACATTCCTTTGGGAACATCAGCTATGAAGTTAATATTTTACAATATTTATAATATTCATGTAAATATAAAAGTACAATTAAAGTTTTATGTAAAACTATAAGTGTTTAAAATTCTCATTGTCGAAAGAAGTATTCGTTTTTGACATTTTAGTATTGAATGAAGCATTAAAGAGGTACGTCTTTGATAAAGCACTGCGGGACATTAGTATTTATTTTTATTAATAGCTCTGCTCACACGAAAAGAAGTGTTTTAAACATATTCAAAAAACATGAAAAGCAATTACACAAAAGATTTCTTAAAATCAAGAGCAATATTTAGTGACAACATTCAAAGAATTTTACTTTTTTCTGATTTTGTTTATGAATCAGTTCTATATATAATTAATTGAAAATGAAGATATAAATTCAGTTGACATAACCTCAAAGTTTCGCCTCTCATTCACTTGTATATATATGTAACATCATATTATCGACGTAATTATGAAATATTTCATTCATTTATCGGTGAATATTTCATTTCTATAATTTATAATTGCATGTTTTACTTTAAAATTTTACACTTTTTGAATAATTTTTCCAACAGACTGAGAGGAGACTGACCTTTCTCTCCGATTTCTCTATTTGAAAAAATGTGTTCTTTTTTAAAAATTCATTGAGTGCGAGTATCGATTTGTGTATTAATAAGAATTCAAATTTTTTTTTTAGAAGAAATTTACACTATTTTTAAAAACAAAAAAATTTGTTAATGCGCAAACGGATATGTAACGTGATTGTTTTGTTGTATTGTGTTTCAACTTCGGAATGATTTAGTGAATTTCTATGTTTTCGAAGTTGACACCAAAATTTTAATGTTAGAAAATAAATGATTTCCATAAATGACAAAACACTGAAGCCCATAAAGAGGCCGAGTAGACCGCCAATATTAGCTGGAAATTTAATTAGTATTAATTGAATCTTGTTTTTTTAGAATTAAAATCAGAAGAAAAAAAGGAGCAAAAAAAATAAATACTTACATAAGAATTCAGTGAATCCGAATAGTTCAGTTTTTACGAATTTTGTAAATTGAGAATCGACAAAGAACAAATGCACCACGGCCATATTATTCCTGAATAAAAGGATATTTTTAAAAAATAATAAATAAGTAGAGAAATAGAGAATTTAGAATACAAAAAATAGATAATTACACAAAGTAATTCTTGTCTTTTCTCACGTAAATATCTTCAATGTCATAGTTCGCCATCAAGGCACTTTGTGAAATCTCAGTTGTGTAGCTCACTTCGAAGCATCCTGGCCAACAATTACAACTGGGACTGTAAATAAATATTTACAGAATTTAATAAATTATTTTTGTACAGAAATTTATCTTAGGAAAACGAAAGAAAAATTAGTCTTTCAAATAATCTCACGTTTCTGTGATGTTCAATTGACTGTTTGTATTTTCATCATCATAAAGTTTTTGCTCCATGGCTCTTCTCGCTTGAATTGCACACTGATCATCTTTCTTTCCACATATTTAGTATTCAGTGACTCTGCAGGCGGAAAAAAAGTAAAATTATTATTTCTTTTCCCCTCGATTTTAACTAAAGTTTTGAACGTTCAAATGAACGAAAATTTTCTTCTGTTTTAAATATTTTATAAAAATTTAGACATTAATTCTCTTCGAATTGTTTAATTTTCAAATTTAAATATTAATTCTCTTCGAATTGTTTAATTTTGAAATTTAGTCATTAATTCTCTTTGAATTCTTTAATTTTCAAATTTAGTTATTAATTCTCTTCGAATTCTTTAATTTAGATACTGAAAAAAGAAAATTTTCTCACTTGGCATGTAATATTGCACGCAATGACAAATCTGCTGTGTAAAATTTGCCTCACATTCAAGGAAACAATTTCTTTGCGTATAAGTTCTGTAAAAACGCAAACGTCTCTCGGACGTGAAGAAGCACTTTCTTTTTTTCTTCGGTATTTTTAATATTGTTTTACTCGCTACCGAAATATGGGGACGTATTATAATACGCGTTTTTTGCCCGGCGAAATTGCAAATGCAAAATCGGCTATTTTCGGAGTTTCACGGGATTATGCAGTAACATCTATAAATGAAAACAAATTAATTAAAAAATGAAAACAAAATTATTAAATGAAATTAAAACAAAAAAATCAAATTATTGAATTCTTTTGCATGAATTAATTAATTAAAGTAATGTAATAATTTAAGAAATTAACACTGTTTATTATTTTTTCAGTTAATATTTCCACCTTAAATCCCACACTGGCTGTCGATGAACAATAATATTCATCGACATTCGCATCGAGAGCTAATGTTAATCCAAAATATTTCCAGCACCATATGGTCTCCATGGTACAGAATCTGGTGTAATATTGAGGAGGCATATCCAGTTTCAGGTGTCCAATCAATTATCGGAATGGGTATGTTACATTTAAATCAGTTGATTCTTTTCTAAAAGAAATTAAATAAGAAAAATTACTCGAGATTTTAGGGGAGAGGAAAAATTTAAACTATTAAATATTACGAGGATATTAAAATAATAATTTTATTATTGGATATTAAAATAATTATATTATTGGCTATTAAAATAATTATATCATTGGCTATTAAAATAATTATATTATTAGATATTAATCTAATAATTATATTATGTGGATATTAGAAAATTAATTATTCGTCGAGCTCACGGATTGAAGAAAATGTAATTTCGATGGACGGAATTAAAATTACAGCACATTCCTTCATCCGTCATTGTGGGATTAAATAGTTTCTCGCATTCAAATTTCATACCGTGCCATTGACAGTAGTGAAGCATTTCAGTACATGATTGTGACACCTACAGAAAAAAAGAGGAAATTGAAAAGAAAAAGTAAAATTTTTAGAAGGAAAGAAAAGTTCTAAATTTTCGGGGATACTCACGTTGATCATAAAACGTCGAACATTTACCCATTTTGCAGATTCATCATCTATATCATTGAATGTGTGGAATTTTCATTGTGGCAAATATCATTGAGCAAATCTGCTCAAGTTTGTCGGTTCTAAAATAGTTTTTTATTTTCTATTAAGATTGAAGTCTAGGAAATATAATTTGACTTCTTAAATTTAATTTAAATTATTTAATAATTTTATTGAATTTTAAGTATTTTAAATTTAATTCGAAATTAAATTTAAAGTAAGATATAATCTTTTTTCTATCAGGAAGCAAAATTGAAATTAAAATGAAATTGGAAATGAAAAAAAATTGCAATTAAATTAAATTGAAATTAAATTAAAATTGAAACTGAATTAAATTGAAATTGCAATTAAATTAAAATTAAATTTTAATTGACACTGAATTAAATGGAATTAAATTGAAATTAATTAAATTGAAATAGAATTAAATTGAAATTGAAATTAAAATTGAAACCAGAATTAAATTGAAATTGAGTTAAATTAAAATTGAAACTGCATTAAATGAAATTGAATTGAAAGTGAAAGTGAAGCAGAATTAAATTGAAATTAAAACTGAATTAAATTGAGATAAATTGAAACAGAATTAAATTTAAATTAAATTTAAATCAGAGAAAAAAAACTGCTCACATAATTGGAAGAAAGTTATACACTCACCACTTTTAATTCGATCGGCTTCACTTTTCTTCGCATTATTCATATTGCAGAGGGGTAATTGAGGGAAATGGAAATTCTTCATAAGCAACTGGCTCGGACTGAGGGAAATATAATTGGCGATGAAATCCATTTTTTATAGACGCCTAAAATATATAAAGACGCTGTTGCCACTGCCGCTGTGAACGAAATAACCCAAAATAATCTGTAAATGTAAAATTCGTAAATCTTTCCTTTTTCCTTTCAAAAATCATTTTTCAAACATCACAATTTTCTCTTAGAATGGAAAATCGTACCTTTCAAAAAGAGACAGATTACTATCGCCAATATATCTTAAACATGAAGAGTACTCGTTTGACAATATGTTTTAGTTAGTGACGCAATCTCCGTTTTTTTCATACATGACTGCAAATATCTTAATTTTGATCTAGAATGAAAAATTCTCGTTCATGAAATAATATTTTTTTCTAACATCCAAAAGAAATGGAAAACTTTTTGAGTTTTATTTACTTGTTCAATTTTTCATCAGTTTCTCTGTGTTTCAAGAATTTCGCTCAAAATCTCTCAGTTTTATTACTATTATTCCTTAAAGTTGAATTAGAAGCAACTTTTCGTTCGAAATTCTACAAAAAAAAAAATTTCAAAAATAAAAATGATTTATTTTGGTCAACAATTTTTTTTATAATTACCTGGTAAATTACGATTTCTAACTGCAAATCCTTCATGTTTCATGGCGCTCTGTAGATATTTTGTCTCTCAAGGAAATTAGTTGTTGAATTGGAAAATATGCGTTACTCTCTCGTAAATAATTTGGAATTTCTCTATTGTTATTATTATTATTACTATATTATTATAATTTATGCTTTGGGATTGTAAAATCTTTTTAGCCGGATAATTAGACATCACTTGTGAAATGTGGAAAATTTCAAATTCTTTATTTTTCTCGTTAGGGTTTAAAATAGTCACTTTTCTCTGCATCCATCCCACGTGCACTAAACTTTGCAAATAATTCCACACACTTAAAATTTCAAAATTGTTCCTCTGTCCCGTAATTTCTTCATTATCCATATTCCACTAGAAACAAAATCTCGTTCCGTTCAATATAAATTGACAAAAACGTTTCTTTTTCCTTTTTTGGTAAAGAAAAAAAAAATTACAATTCCAAAAAAACTTGAGATGAATTTTATTTCACATTAAACTAAATTTCGAAATTTGAAATTATATTTCGAATTAAAAATTTTAATTCAATTAAATTTCGAAGCAAATGTGTAAATTCAGTTAAATTCGAATTATAATTGTAATTTAATAAATTTCAAAAAAGATAAAAAGTATATGGGAGTAATTTTCTCGTGACTATTAGGAAACGGAATGAGATGGATTTTAAGTGAAGTTCAGAATTTTTTTTTAAGCAAATATTTAAAGGGTTTGAAGGCCAAAGGGAGGGAGAGATAAATAGGTGGAAAAAATAATTATTTTTTTTAATTAAAAAATTGTGGTCGTCGAAATTTCGAGGTCGTCTGCGTTGATTCAAGTTTGTGTAACAAACATTTTTTCCTGTTTTCTTTCTGTTATCCTTAATTAGACTGTGGTAACATCAACGCTTACCAGGTCAATTTAAACACACGCACACACTATTATTTACCTTCAAACCCTTTTTTTAATAATTTACATTCTTTACAAGATTTTTACTTTTTTTTTTTTTTGTTTTTTCACGTCTTTAATAACTAACATAATTTATTTATTTTCAAATTTATTATCGATTCAATTAATTTGAATTTTCAATTATTTATTTGAAAATTTAATTATCAATTCAATTATCAATTCAATTAATTACTTCTAATTTTCAATTTAATTTCAATTTATTTATTTTTCAAAAATTAGTCGTTTTGGGAATTATTTATTAATATTTATTAAATTTTCAATTTATTTATTTGATGATTATTTTTTCCTTATTTATTTACCAAATTTATTATTATAATATTAATTATTTATAGTTGGATATATTGTTTAAAATTTCTTTTTGGTAATTATTATTCAGGGTGAGGAAAAAAATGATGTGAAATCGTTTACTGCTTGAATTAACTTCTAAAAGTCAACGTGATTAGTATCTGTCAGGAGAGAATTAAAAAAAATACACATATCGTCTCTATTATTTCGCTCATTAAAGATGAGTGATAATAGGATCGTTAAGGATAAGAGTTATTAAAATAGAGTAAACTATATGTTGTCTAAGAACTATATAGCACTTTTAATCGTTTCAAGTCTTGTACATTTTATTGATAAAAAGAGAAGAGTTATTATTGTAAACAATGGTGTTTTTTTTAAGTGCAATACAGTTTTCAAATTAACAACAATTTTCCAAATTGAAAAATTCATTGAAAATCAAACTAAACGTTATTATGGGATTTTTTCCTTATTTAGAGAATTTTTATTAAATAAAATTCCAAAGAGTATTTTTTTTTAAATATTTTAAAAATAAATTTTCTAAATTACTCAGTGAACGATATTTACAATTATACTCTTTCATTGTAACTTACAAATGTTTATTTTAGTAATCAATAAACTATCTTGCAATTTACAAGTTGACATGAAAAAATAATACAAATTATACATTTTAATTTCCTTAACTTTATTCCTATATTTTCCTTAATATTTATTTTTCTATTTATTTTAAAGAAAATTGTAGAAATTAATTTTTTTCGTTAAATATATTTACAAAAAATATTAATTTAATTTCCAATTTTTTCACAAATTTTTCTTTTACAGAAGAAGAATGTCGAACACAAAATTGTCGGGGAAATATTGATAAAGGAAAAGAGTTAGAAATCGATTGGGAGAAGAAGTATATTACGACGAGAGTAAGAAATGAAATGGAATCAATGTGGGAGGTAATATTATAAATTGTATTTACATTCCTTAATATTTATTTATATATTTTCTATTTATTTAAAGAAAATCGCGCATTTTATTTTTTGACGAAATAATTATTTTACTATTTTTTACATTCATATTTGTTTTAATATTAATATTAAAAATTGATTCAATTTAAAATTTATTTCAGATCCACCAGATCTTCCATTTTCTACAATTAACCAAGAAAGCCTTGAATATTTCTCATTTATCAATGTACGAGGGGAAAGAATGCTTTTAATGCCAAAAGCCTCGAAACAATTAGCAAATATTATGACCTGTCTTCTTAGGTAAGGAATAATTTTAATTATTTTTAGGTTCATAATTCTTTAAACTTTTTTTTTTTTAGTATTTTTTAATTTACTTTTTATTTTATTTTTCTTAAATTTAAATTTATTGCTTCCTAATAGAGGAAGGAGTATATTTTGTTTTATTTTTATTTTAATATTAAAAAAAGAAGAACTAGAAAATAAATGAAATAAATATTTAATTCTTTTAATGAATTAATAATAATTAATATTATTACCCCTTTAGTCTCCCAATTTGAACTAAACTTCATAAGTTACCACCATTCCCTCCGAATTTTGGACGAAACGTTTTTGATGCACAAAGTCGAACGTGGTTTTCCTATCAAAATAAGCACAAGAATATAATCCCTTCTTTTTTATCAATTTTTTAATTATAGTTTAAAAAATAAAAGAAAAATTTCTTGAAATTGCTTTAATTAACTTCAAAGAAAATAAAAGGTTAGATTGGTAATTGAATTAATTAAAATTGAAAGAGAAAAGATTGTATTTAATTAAAATTGGAAAGAAAAAAAGACTGGATTTAATTAAAGAAAAAAATGGAATTTAACTAAAATTGAAAAGAAAGAAAGATTGAATTTAATTATATTTATTTCACGTTTTCGAATCAGTCGGAATAGAGTCACAATTTGGGAATCTTTTTCCTGATATTTCTTGCCTGGAAGGAAAAGATTTTGAAAACGTTTGCTTTAAACAAAAAGTTTGGCTACTAAAAACACTATGTGATACAATTTTGGTAAGTTTCGACAACTTTTTTTTCTCTTTATTAATTTAAATGTTAATTTGCAATTAATTTTCTTCTCTTTAATAATTCAGCATAGCAGAAAAACAAACAATTCAAGAAGAAGTTATTAAAGCACTCTTGGAAGATAGAATCGAACAATTTTAGGTATTGACAGACACGGTGCAAGATATATTTATTTTCCACATTTTCTAGAAAATGATCTTAGAGTCTATCGGCATTGTTTAGATAATGGAATAATGTCAACAGTGAAGGTACCTACAAATTTATTACTCACACATAAAACAATTTTACTTTTTGTCTAAAAAAATTACTTTTTTTTTGTCTAATAAATATAAAATTATAAGAAACAAAATTTGTCTCTCTCTCTCTCTCTCCATAGGCACCAATTATTAAAGAAGAGCCAAACTGGACGTTAAAGACGAGGACCGGTGAAATTTCCAATTTAAAAAATCTGTCGCAGTAAAAGAAGAAAATCCCGTTGGAGAAAGGATCTTTGCCTTATAAAGGGAAAAGAAAAAAGATCGTGAGAAAAAAACGAAGAATTGAAAGATTAAATAATTTATCGTACAATTCGGATAGTTTCAAGAGTTTAGTAAAAAATGAAAGTCTATCTGATCAATCAAGCAGTCCGGAGAAAAAGAAACACATTAAACATTGTTTCCTTTGAAAATATTCCAAATGCCTTTAAAGGATTTCAAAGTAACAGTGAGGAGGAATTAGATAAATGACCATATTTATAACATTCTAGATCAATTGATAACGACAATTGAGGAAAATCGCCACAATTCAGAAGAAAGTTTATTGATCAAAGTTTAACAGAAAAACAACAAAAGATGAAGAAGAGAAGAAGAAGAAACACAACCACAGCAGTCAACAACCGACAATGAAATAAATGACGGTGATGATGTAACTAATTATTTAGAGAGTAATTTGCAGAAACAACATCTGATTGATGAGACGATAGTATAAAATTTCTGATACGGAAGAAAAAGGGGAGGAAAAATTAAATGAAGATTTAAAGAATGACGAGGTTGGTTTAGATAAATGGTTAAAGCACTGTCGAAGAAAAGGACAGTCACGTGATGATGATGATGATGATGAAGAGGAAATTGAGCATAATAGTAAATTAGAATGCAAGAGAAAAATGAAAATAAAAATCAAGAACTCAAAGACACTCCTCAAAGGACAATGATTATGATAGTAATGCAGAAAGTGATAATGAAGTTTCTTTAATTGAATTAAGAGAATTTGCTGAATGAGGCGTCTTTGATGAATCCTCACACGTTATGATGATAAACACCAGCAAGCAGAACATAATTTCAAAAATATAAAATTCACTGAAACTGAATCATGGAATATTGCCGCGAAAGATTTCAATGAATTAATCACCGATTTGAGTGAATCTAAATTTAAGCTCATGCCGACAGTGTCGAAACATTGCGCAATTGATCAGAGGCTTCTCCTGCAAAGTAATACTCACGGAGATAATAAATAATATTGTAAGTTGAATATTGTGGAATAAATAATATTTATAAATATTATTAAATAATTAAATAACTATTAATAACTAATCCAAAATAACTAATTCAATTTAATATTTACTTAATACAATAATATTTGGTATACTTTTTATGCAATATTTTTGTTTAATTTGAATTTTACGATATTAATAGACCATTGTTTTTGATTATGAAAATTGTTTTTAATTTGAATTTCGTATTTATTTGCAGAGTGATTTCACACCAGTTTGTGAAGTAAATTTATT